TAACAATAAAACTATTAAAAATAATTATATTTGATTAGATCTAGTTTTGGCACATGCACACACACACAAATCTCTAAAAATATTATTATACTTCAAATATTAACAATATTTTTAACTCTTATTTTAGCATCATCAAGGTGTTTATTTTTATATTCTTATATATTTTTGTATTTTAATTCTAGTTTTTGTTGTGTTTTTGTCGGTGGTGGGCCGTCAGGGCCAGCATAGCCTTCTCTGCTGGCCTAAACACTATCAGAATCACTGATGTAGTTTAATATATTTTTCCATGAATGTGTATTCAATTATTTCCAATAGTCTATTCTCTTAATTTCATAGCTTTTCTCTTGGTTGCACTGCTTCCAGCAGTGTATGTTTATATTAGAGCTTTTATCCAATCATATTTCAGCAATCGTGTTGCCTGGGTCAAAGAAATCCGCCTTAAGGCCTTCAGAATCAACATCGCAGGCGTCTGTTAGCTTAAATCAATGGCAATGAAACTGTTGCTTTAACCAATCAGATTTCATGTTGGCAGCACCAGGGCCATCTAGCTGGCTTACGATAGCGTCAGCATTTTCTCCTCCTTTGATTGGATGGTCAGAGAGTGTACTAGTCAAAGCTAGCAAACAGCATCACTGTAAATCATTTTTGTTTTCACAGTATTATTACTGTTTCTCAGGTTTCTTACCGTATATGCTGTGTACAGTGCGTTATTGTAGATTTTCAGTGCATTCTGAAAAATATTCGCCTTCTGTAAATCGAAATACTAAAGTACTAAATGACCGTGAAAAACAAGCACACACCTCCTCGGCACCAGCTGTCTGAAAGACTCCTGAAGATGAAAAACCACTAAAGTAGGGTAGGTTCATTTTCATTTTTTTACTCTTTTTTTTATCGCTTTATGGGAGACTCGTGAAGACGGAAAGCAGTAAGAGTTTGTTCAAATGTTAGGTCAACTTTAAAACGCATGTTAATCACCTTATTTGTTTTATACCAGTGCTATCTGTAAGGTATAAATGCGTTTGGGTGAATAAATGTCTGTAAGAACATCGGATGGACTGTATTTGTGTCATTTTGTTAGGTTAATGCTTCAGCTACAGATGATGTGTTGCGCAGCTACGGCAACTTGTTAATTGGGTTTCTTTCTTTAGTAATGGCATTCATTCTCACTACTTAAGATACCTATCTGTGATGTAGTGCCCTGTTATACTGCATTACTGTGTAATATTTATGGTTTCTATAGCCGTGGCATCATTATGATGGTAGATTAATTCAAGTAGGACGCCACTGAAGGCCTAGGTGTGAAATGTACGGCCCACCACTGATATATATATATATATATATATATAATTTCAAATAACAACATTTTTGAATGGCTTTAGTTTTAGTTTACTTGCCTAACCCTGATGTTAAAACATGCATATTATAATGGAAGTATGCTGTACTGCCTTTAATTTGTGCTGGTATTAAAAAAAAAACATTGCATTACATTATTATGTAACAGGGTTGGGCCATGTCTACAAAACTGGCATCGGACGATGTCTACAGTGAAACGTCACGATGGACGATGACATCGGGGGGCGGGGGGGGAGTTAGGGGGTGTGCCCGAAGCGTGAATCCGTATTCAGAAAGGCACGGAATACAAATAACAATTGCTAACAGTTGCCTGTTAAATTACAGTAGCTACATAACCTTTCACTAACCACATAAACTGAGGATGATGGCGAATGATTTGCAAAATGTGAGGTTCAATCATTTATTCATGATGCTGGCTCAACATCGTGATGTCTATCAGTCATCGGCGATGCACGATGGCATCGTCTATCGGCCCAACCCTATTACGTAATACAGTAAAATAAAGCTAAAAACATTATAGCAATGACAATTATGTAGGGAAATGTGTTTAATTGTCATGAAAATATCACAATGCAAAAAGAATTTTAAAACAGGCTTCATTTACTTTATGCAAACTATCATTTGGGATGAAATGTGTTGATGTGAAATTAACCCACATTGCCAAAATGTGAAAACTTTTACAAAACGTCCTATTAGATTGCAATGTCTCTTGCATCATTTGCTTAGCTCTGTAAATCAGATCCTGTGAAACCAGGCAGTGAAAGGATTCAAGTAATGAATGTGAACAAAGATGCCCTGTTTTTATAAAAAAACTTCCTCTAAACTCAGGTCTGTTTGGTGGGTTTTCACACAGAGGTTCACAGTGCTGTCTGAACGAATCTTCTGTTCATTCTGCTTCTCCCTTTCATTTCACACAAACTAAAATAAACTACAGACAAGAAATGCATAATGCTTCATGTTAACTCGCATAACAAACAACACTGAAAACATCAGTGTAGGATTTACTTTGAAACAGTCTCGCTCAGAAATTGCCAGTAAATTTCCCAAATAACTACACAGATACCACATTGAATTAAACGTAAAGCTTTTAAGTAGAAAGAAAGACTGAAATGGCATTTTCTTGTAAAACACACGAGCCCTCCTGCACATACAACATGACTTAACAGTGACCAGACAGAACATGCAAACTGTGAGAAGGCGACATCTGGGCATAAAACACACACCAGAAAGATGTCGGAAGTTCTATAGCATGAATTGGAAATAATGCAAATGTAAGAAAATCTCCACTCCCAACACATTCCACATCTCTACATTAGAGAGCGATGCTCGACCTGTATCTACATGACTACCATGACTAACACGCTATTATTAAAATAACTCAACACGAGCTCGCATAAATAACCCACAATGCCTTAATAGGAGAATGAGGCAAAACTCAGAATGATGAGACGTCTGGCAGAGGATGCAAAGATTCATGTCTGAAAGAGCGGCAGTTGCAGGGTGACACAAGTAAGTCACATCTGCAGTAAAAATACAGTGACTCAATCGCAATGGTGCCTGCAAACCTCTCTCAGAACCAACAAACCAATGTTTTCACTTTCTTTGAGAGCCATTCAATGAAACTACCACGCATGCAAGCACGCATATCACACATACACGCAAAAAAGCATATCATGCATATTAGAATGCATTCCGTGCATGCATATCACGCACACATGCAAGTCATGTATGTAAGCATGCATATCACTCATGTAAGCACACATATCATGCTTGTAAAAACATATATATCACACATGCATGCATATCATGCATGTAAAAAAAGACCACTCATGCATGCAAGCACACAAGCATGCATATCATGCATGAAAGCACTCCTATCACGTATGCAATCGCATATATCACGCATGTAAGCATTCACATTATGTATGCAAAAAAGCATATCACACATACATGCAATCACACATCTCTTCTATGGTTATCTGTTGAGGCTGATATACTCTCTGATTAACTCGCTGTTCCTGCACATGCTCTGATGCATTCAGCAGTGGCGCTCATGCAGGTCTGAATCTGATTCAACATACAACAAGACTCAGTATGCTTCCAAAAGCATTTATGTAGATGCATGTGTTTCCCAACGCAAACACTTATGACATTTGCTTTTGCAATTGGAGCCAAGCCTTACTGTTTGACTTCCAGCATAGACAGAAGCCGAGCTGACCGCAAAACCACTCACTCCACATTCACTGCAACAACATAATGAGTGTTTCACTTCAAAACAACCATGTGTACACAGCACACACTTCACCACACATCAATCATATTCTGAGCACCATTGTCTAATGTAATAATATCAGGTTTTAATAGATGCTAATTACAGCCATAATACACAAGGGTGTGTGTGTTTACATGTTTAAGCTCTCGCTATAAGCATCAGGACTGTCATCGGCACTTAGTGCCACTAGAAGCCCTTTTCAGCCGAGTCCACGTCACAGGAAAAAACAAACAGTCTGCTTTTTCTGTTCAAGGTTATGCAACTTATGCCAAAACAAACACCATTACAGTCAATGCAAAGGGCTTGGTGTATTTGTACGGGTATAGATAGTCTACTTAATGACAATTGTAGATGACCGCAGAGGGCTGAAAACCCAAAAGACACAGACTTTAACACAAAAGAGCTGCGGCTCATTCAATGACTTTCCTCCACTCTCCTTAAGTTACCGGTTACAAGAAATGCATTCGACTCAATAAAACAAGTTGTTATTGCTGTTGGGAATGTTTGTAGTATTTTCTCTATGCAAGTTAACGTCTCCATGAAAGAAAACACAACTTAACAACCAAATATCTTGGCAGTCGTTATAAAATATCAAACAAGCTCTAGTCTGATATTTCATAAAGTATCAAACTAAATACTTAAACAACAGCAACAGTTTGTTTACCAATAACTCTCTTTAACCCTTTGATGCATGACATTTACCGTGGACAGTCCAATATTAAACCTTTCAGACTGTCCTCTTCATATTTGTATTTTTATTTATTGTTTGACAGCATCCAAAATGGGTCATTTTTACCTTTTATTTCAGAAGACGGATGTATACTTACAAAGAAAGCATCAAAAAGTACCATGGTACTACAATGTTTCACGTATCACGGTATTCTTGAGGTAAACCGATATTAGTACCACGGTCTTGAATCAGGACGTTGTAATTATGCATGTAAAAAAATAATAATAACAACTATTTTAGTTGATAGTTTTGAAGGAAACAAAAAACTGAGAATTTAGTGTCTTTCTTATTTAATAATTCCAGCATATGAAAGGGTTAATAACATTAGAAATGTCCTTAAAACTTGGATTCGTGCGTTGTTTAAAAAAAATTAAAATACTCGCATTAAATATAGTTCATAAATGACTAAGTAATGATATAAAAGTGTCTCTATAAGTGCTCTTGCAAACATCACGACTGAAATGTGCTGGGTTTGGGATGAAAACGCTGCAAACGTGGCAGTTTCACTACTAATAACCAGACAAGAGATGCATCCAGTAAAGCATCCTTCAGAATCCTGACGATTCAAGAATCCATGCATGCATCCGGTAATAACGCATTAAGTAACACTGTATGGAAGCGGACATGATTGTATCGGTCTCTTACCTCCAAACCGAAATTGCATGACAAACACAGCTGATGCGTTTCTCCGTCAGGTCCGCGTGTACACTCGCATGTGATTCTCGCATATAAACATCAAACGATCGCAAAAACCCGAGAGTGCGTCGCTCTTCAAGGGCACGTGCAACGGGAAATTCTGCAGACCGGTTGCGACTTGTTGCTGTGCACCGGGGGCGTGGCTTAGCGAACAGGCCCCGCCCCTATCATTGCTGCTGCTGCGTCCGCTCTTCAAGCACGTGGACGGATGTACCTGCTATTATACACTTGTGTAACAGCGCTTCCTCTCTTCAGTTCTGTATGTTCAGCTGTAAATGAAGGTCCACAGCACTATACACAGAGCTGGGTAGATTACTTACAAATTGTTATCCCTTACTGATTCCAAATTAGGCTACATGACCAAAAATGTAATTAGTAACGTAATCCATTACATTACACATTTTAGGTAATTTACTCAGACTACTTTTAGATTAACATGAACTGCATTAAACCTTATATTACATCAAGGTTTCACAAACTGGGTAACTGCAGGGGGTTTATGCCTTTAATGAAAAGCAAATGAAACAATAAAAAAATATTTTCTAATATGACTCAAAATAAAACGCTTACTAAAAGTCGTCTATTTGACGTTCTAGCCTTTGCAGCCGGAAAGAATATATTGTTGATAACTTGTATATTGTATAATAACTTGTGTTACTCGTATGTCTGCTGAAGCTTTTCCTCAAGTTTGGACTTTATCAGTTTCTATAAGTAATATTTTGAGTTTTGGTATGTCAATGCACTTTCTCTCTCTTTTTTTTATCACTAGTATTGTAAAAGATGGGCATTGCTTGTTGGTTGGTTGGGTTATGTTTATGTTATAAGTGGCTGAAACAGATGCAATAAAACACTTACTGAAAAAATTAAATATTTTATTTGTTTACTTGCATGTTGTGTGTCCATAACGAAAGTCAGAGAACCATCGACACGCAAACGTGATACCTTTATTATTAAAATATTTATTGTAAAATCTCAGCGGTACTTCAAGTAAATGTATTAGGTCAAAGAGGATCAGATGACTATTTATTTGTTTTAATCTCGAATCATTAGTTAAGTGTAACAGAAGCTGCTTCACAATTGTGCAAAAATACGGTCAACTAAAAGCAGGTAAAAGACAGCCCTCTGCTGGCTAAAGCCTGGTAATACAATTGATTTGGTCAGTTATTTGGAGTAGTGTTTTCTTTTTTCTCAGGTCATCTACTCAGCGTTTCTTATATGATTTTTGGTTATGGATGTTGAGAATATAATCGTAGTCTGGATCTTCCCCTTTTTTCCCCCCATGCTGTTGGTCCTTAACTCCTTTTTTAAACTAATTTATTAACACTGAGGATAAATTGGCTTGTAAGAACAACATTATGGGATATTAGTAATAACAATAATAAACTCAAAATGATTTATAGGAATTCTGAATGTATAAATATAATTCTTAGAAGAAACTAATATAATTAGAGAACACGTTTACACAATTAAAAAAAATGAATACGCCAACCAATGCTGTTTGTTTGTTTGTTTATGATTTAACGCCATGCGAGCTACCTCGGCTATATTCATGGCGAGAACCGACCAATGCAAAAGCAAAGTCGCCCGTTTGAGAACAAAACATTTGCACAGCAAAACGACCAGTGCTAAGCTGATGGAGTGACTTTGAGAGATTTGTTCATCATCCATTAATGAGAAAGAAACATAACTATGAACAATAAAGACAGGGAAGTGCGTTTAAAAAAATGCCTCTTGAACAAAGAACTGTTTACTCTCAAGTATGTTGACAATAGCTTCACAATGGTAACATGAACTTGAATTTACTGCCCTGAATGAACTGAGTGAAGAAAATCAAGCCTTATCCACTTGCATAGTCCACAAATAGATTGTGAATGTAAATGTATGAAGATGAAGAGCGGCAACAAAGACGCTGGAATCCTTCGGGGTAAAAAACAACAACCTTGGTAATCCTCTTGGCTCTAGAGCAGCAGTCCAGATCAGTAGCACTCCATGCTTTGCCCATGCTTTAAACACAATGTAGTGACTTCCAGAATGTCTTTGCATCCAGGTTCATTCAAGATTTCCCAAACTCTGTAGGTCCATGTTTTTCAGAGAGCTTGCGCATCATATGACGTTTCTGCAGACAGATTGTGTCTCCTCTCTCCTGAGTATGTAGCCAGCAGCACAGAGAGGGAGGTGTCTGGATGTGCGCTTCCTGAGGTGGAGTTCGCTGTGTATGTAGAAGCCTGGGCATCCACTTTCTCCTCTCTGATGGTGTTGGTCAAAGACGCCGGGAAATCCAGAAAAAAGAACCGTAAAGAAATCGGGAACATCATTGAACTGATGTCATAAGCTCCACATCACATCCTCATGTGAACCAGTCACATGTCTGCAGAAGAACGGCCAGTTACTTCTCCCTAGAATGGAAATGAGAATAAAACTGAATATATATTTTCATTTCATTATGTATTTTCAAATATGATAGATAACTTAATCCACGATCAACGATCACACCAGTGTGATTTGAACTAGAGACCTGCACTCCCGCGGGACCCAACGCAACAGGCTGATGGGCGGGAAGAGACTTGTGTGTGTGCGGGATGCGGGAGAATAAAATGATTTGCGGGACTCCTGAAAAATATAAATGATCTAAACATAAAATGTCTAAAACATTTTGTGACGAGTGGGGGCGGGGCCGAGAGCCGTGGGAACGGAGCGAGGCCGGTGGAGTAATTGATAATGAGCGACACCTGCACCACTCACCGGTCTTGAGTCCCACTGAGGATCTCCGGAAGGATAAAAAGGAGGAGTGACGACAGTGAAAGAAGAGGGAGGACCAGGCCTGGAGTTTATTTTGTGTTTTTGTTTCGTTTGTGCGCGACAGTCGTCCGCGAGGGGCTGTCGCGCTATTTTGTGTTTGTTTGTTTTATTAAAGTTTCTTTGAACGTTCACCAGTTCCCGCCTCTTCCTTCCCGATCTACAAACTTGCTACACATATAAATGGTTATTTATGTGTTGCACAAAAGCAAAAAGAACAACTAATAACATTAAAATGATTAACACGCGCTAGCTAGGCAGAGTTTCTATTTATAACACGTGTTTAAAGGGTTGCGCAGTGTAGCCAATCACAGACTCAGCTGTTTATTTTTTCTGGAACGCAATGGCCAATCAGAGGTGATTAAGTTAGAATCCACTCACTGCAGTGCTGAAATTGCATGCTCACGAATCCTCTCATTTTAACACATGAAGTGTAGACATTGTGAATTGTGATTCAGTGTGCACATGTTCATTGTGTTATAACAGAGCTTTATGAGATCGCGATGAACTGAGATGTCAGCTTTTAGTGATAATAAAGGAAGCGCTGCTGGCATTCTTCCATGCCAAACCATGCACGCAGCAGCCCATGTTTGCTTTTCTTTTAAAAATAACAGTGGTTTGTGAATGTTGATGCTTAGCCTAAATAACAAATATTTTATCGGGAGCATTTATGCTGGGATGTTGTGGATTTTAGGAGATGTTACAGAACCATTTAATGTAAATTTCTTTGATGTGCTGAAAAAATATCTATATAGTATACTTTTATTGCGGGTGGAAGCGGGACAAAACATGAATGTCGCGGGCGGGTGCGGGACAGAATCTTGCGGGAGCGGGACTGAAAAATCCGTCCCGTGCTGGTCTCTAATTTGAACATTTAAATCTGCGTTCGAGCTGCCGATGACCTGAAGAGAGCAGCTGTCATCTGTCATGAATGAAACAGCTTCACAATCTTTTCAACCACACAGTATCATTATTTCTGTTACAAACATTCAAATCACAGAAGCAATGGGATAAAAGTTTATAGTTCGGATATAAACTCTGATATGTAGGGTAGTGATTAAAATAGAGCAAATCACCTTTTGAAAGTAATTTGACACTTCAAATGAAGATTTATCGATTACATTGTTACGCCAGTAGGTGGCGAAAAGGAGCTGTTAAAATGTATTTGTCTTTGAATCATACAAGAGATTCGTTCAAGAACGCTGATTCATCCAGTAATGAAACAAGTACATCTTGAGTGAGTCATTAAATCATTTATTCATAAATTACATGTGATTTTGTTTAGTTGTCTTAATATGTTTTCTTTATGAGAGATCCACAACTTCCATTGGGAAAAAAAGAAAGAAAAAAAAAAACACGTTTAAAAAATTTATCCAGAATTATGATAAAATTTTGCCTATTTTGCACACAAACAGTTCTTAGAGAGTCCAGTTTTTATGTAGCCTGTTGATTTTTGTTCATGGTATTCAGCTCCAATAAATGGTTTGCAAAAAAGAGAATAATTGATATCATTATTTAATCACATTGGAATCTAAACAAATCAGAATCGATAAGCAGAATCGGAATTGATAAAATTCAAACGATACCCAACCCTAATTATATGTGACTAAACAGCCATTGTAGTCAAGTATGAAAAGGCCTTGGGAATTGTTTTAGATTTTGACCACTAGAGGACAGCAAAGACTGTACAGCACTTAATTCCAGGGAATCAGTCAAAATTTAGGGCTGGACGATCAATATTATTTTGTTAGCAATATAAAATTAACTTGCATTGTGAATATTGTGATGATTTTAATATGCTTTTTATTGCCCATTAAGTTTCTAAAGACCATGGGAGTAGCCTAGTTATACATCCACTTCTTGTGCCAAGGCTTGTTTGTGAGATAATAAAGACATTTTAATAGCAACAAAAATGAGTTAGGAGGTTCAATTCATTTCTGCAGCTCAAGTTCTTTCAAACGGCCCAGTTTAAAGAATAAACACATTGAACGATTCACCTAAATGTATGTGGAAGCCCCTCATAGCATTTTTGCATGCTTTAAAATACTTTAGGGAAATATACAAATTGTAAATATGGTTGTTTATCACTATGCATTGTTATGATGGCCCATTAAACAAAAGAAAACGAAAAAAAAACCCAAATGTAATTCTTTAAGTCTGATGAAAGTGAAAAATTCAAGAAAATCATGATTATTTGATTGTCTGTTTTTTTTTAAAGCACAATTTGCTTTAAATAT